ATACACATCGATTTAGCCAAATTCGCAGTTTAGAGAATCCTCTGCAACGTGTTAAGAAGCGTGTGTAGTTCACCAACAACGTTTTCGAGAAAGCGTTTCATTCGAAACGGCGTGTCCAGCGGAAAGGATGGTAAAGGCATCGATCGGCGCCAAAAACGACGATTCGCTCGGAAAGCCGATTCGCTCAGAAGCTGATTCTACCTAAACGATTCTAACGCAACAGGAACTCCCTCAAAACGCTGGAGACAGGCGCTGATCAAAATCTACACAATCCCTTTCGCTCAAAACGGCAATTCTCGTAAAGTGCTGATTCGTTCGAAACTTTGACTTTCCCGATCTTTCCCGATTTAAAGTAAAGACGCAGCTTTGGATGGAAATCGACTGATTCCGCTAAGTAAGGTGCCACTGCTCGTTCTTCCAAACGCGGATTCCTAAGAAGCGCTGACACTTACGATCATACCGTAAATTCCTTTGCCACCGAAGTGCGCACTCTCCAAAATGGTGGATTCGCTTGATCAATAAGTATACTTTTCTTTTCGCGCGTTATTCGGGCGAATTGTCTACAGTCGTGAAGCTTGAACGCGGTCGTACCGCATATGTTGTTGAGAGGTCCCTAATCTGCTCAACTCTAGTTCTCAACCACACTTTTCTCTTAATTGTCCAGGTTCATTTTCGCTCACGGGAATTTTCCATCAACTTCTCTGCCATGTGGTTCTCTAGAACCTTACATGTTATATAAAGTTTTAGATAAGTACATGTGCACGACGTCACCTTTTGTGGCGAAGTTGCAACAGGGTGTGCATATTTCGATCAATAAAAGGAAACGCGCGTTTACTGACACCAGTGCTTCTTTATGGAGCTGAGAACTTCCGTTTATTCTGGAGAATCAATAATGACATCGCTCACCTCATCCCATCGAACGATTTGCTGATATTGAGGATCCTCAACGATACTCCACAGCTTGATCAAGAACAAAGGCATTTTTTCATCGTCCTTGAAATTCGGCAGCTGTGCAACCGGCTGCAAAATAACAAGTTGCATGAGAGGAACATATATAAACGAAATGATTCGTAATGGGATAGCGGACTGAGAAAAGCTTGGCATGGCAAGGAGTGTTTCAACATTTGGTAATCAAGCCTTGAAATTACAGCATTTCCTTATATCATCTGACAATTTCATTTCATATCCAGTTACCCAGAAGGCATCCCAAATGGGCAATGTAGCGAGTGCGAATAGTTAATTTCCAGTCCCGATGAGTTGACGGGACAGACGTCGCAAGCGTGACGCACGCAGTGTTCGCACCAGGACCCAACTCACTCAATGGAGCAGTGCTGCGGTGCGCCGACTCTATGAGCTCTATGCGCCTGCGTTTCTCAAATCGACTAGTAATTTCTGTGGCTGTATCTGTCCAGTCAGCTAGCTGGGAGTTACATGCTACGTCTCACGCGAGGCCTCGATTCAGGGGAAAAAGGTGCACGCTAGTTCGCTGCGGATGGTTGGGCGTGTCAGGCAGTGTGAGTGTGCTCCACGGCCGGGTTCGCGTTCGCCTGCTCCTTGTTGAAGCTTACAAAAAGTGCTAGGAAACGAGTAATATGAACGATATGCATACGGTCATATCATTTTGTTCCTTCAAACAGCTAGTGAGAATGGGTTGGCACCGCGGCGAAACTCAATTCCGCCTAACCGCTCCAAGCCGTCGCCAGCGCCACTACACTATATAGTTCTGTAGGTTTCTATGCGGACGGTTGAGCCGTGTCAAGTCGGATGAATTTGGCGCGGTGCCAAACCCGTTCTCCACCAGTTTTTAGAGCGAACAAATGATATGACTGTATCATATCGATCGTATTACTCGTTTTCTACCACTTTTTTTGTCGCAATGCGCGCTATAAACTACAGTGGACCAGGCAGACAACGGCCTGACGCCTGTGCACACACTCACACTTGCGCCTTAGACATGCCGCACGGCGACCGCAGCGAAGTAGAGTGTATATACTTCATGTGAAGCAAGGTCGCAAATGCACACGCGAGATGCGCGCGAAGAAATTACGGCCCCATTCAGACATGTTTCGGTCCCTAGGCGTGGGTTAGCCGAGGCCACGCCGATGGTTTGTGCTGCGTCTGAACGACCGAGTCCGCCATCATCTATTCCTCTTTTCCTTTCAAGAGTGAGTCTTTGGACGCTGCCTGCTCACTCAATCCGAGATAGTGTTCAGCGTGTTTCACTGGAGCCGGTGAGGCAAATTATGAGCAATTAAGATGCAGAACGGGAGTATAACACTACAATATGATGCTAAAGTGAAGCATTTGGTGCTGGAAGAGGCTGAAGATTCTTCGCGCCGCCCCGTGGCCCCGCTAGAGTATGTCAGCAACTCATTTTCCCTCAAAACTGTTCTTCGGCTATTTCACCGAGAACAGTTAACGACATGGACCCGTTTTGATAAAACTATTGATAATACAGCGGCATAAAAAACGGTGTTTTTAAGCGAAACATTCACGACGTCAATGGCGAAAGTACAGCTTATATGAAATGCTGGCTCATAGTTCAGAAAACAGGGTAAAAGACCGGATACAAGATTACTCAGCACTGTTACAGTGAGAAACTGAAGGTTACTGTCATAGGCTAGCTTGAAAGCAAATGCGATGGTCGTCTTAAATTCGAAGAAACTCACCTGCTGCTGCTGTTGTTGTTGAAGCGGTGCGACCATGACCTGAGGAGGAGCATTTTGTGAGGAGATCACTTCGACTTTTGGTACCCGATTTCCGTACATCTAACCTTCAATTACGAGATATCATGAGATGTTTCATACAAGCAAGGTGTAAAAATCGAATCCATATCGGTAGTAGTTAAGGCACCGAAATTTTCAAAAAACCAGCGAAAGAAGGAGAAATTCATGTAGACGATCAAACTCAGTAAAGTGCAAGTCCTGATTTAGTCACACAATAAAAAGATATAGAAGTCCTGCTATAATACTGCTTGGTCGATTTGCTCGAAATTTTCCGAACCCGAGATTTTTCCGAGATTTCAGAAAAAATGTGCTAAACGTAAAAAAACGAAGCTGCAACTGCTTTCGAAAGTGAGGTGTACGGCCAATATAAAAACGAAAAAAGAACTTGCCCGGGACGAAGAAATGAAATCGGTAAGTTTGCCTACTGGGAAATGACAACAGATTGCTCCGCGTGATTCTCCCGTGGAGGAGCTGAGGATGGGAGGAAGGGGTGCGCTTGCAAGGCTTCTGTCATCGGATGCTTTTCTGCTGCGAGAGTCCAGACCTATTTGCTCATCGCATCTTCTGAGCAAGTATTTGAAGGGAGGAAAATAGGAAGAGAGATTAGCAAAGGAAGGAAAAGAGAGAAAGAAAGGGAAGAGAACGTTGGCAGATGACCTGAGACCGGAGGCATTAAAGGCTTTCATGTGCGAAATGGGGGTTGCCGCTATGATGAATCCTGTTTTTGGGTAAAGAGATTGGCCCACCCATCCCAGAAATCTCTCCATCACGGCAGTCCTAATTTAGCGCAGGAAGTCCATTTAGGTCCCATTTTTATCTTCCTGCTGCGCCGATTTTTTCGGAATTCTTTTCCGTGCATTTCTCGAGTAAAAAAGGGGTTGATATCCCATTAACCATTATAATATTTTTTGCGATGCAATAGTGAATAATAAGTACTATATTTTCTGAAATAAATGCGCACTTCGCAGTGTCGCACATGACAACGCGTGCGAAGCAAGGAGTGAGTAAAGTGGGGAGAAAAATTCGCAGCGAACGAAGTGAAGGAGCGGCCTGTATTACAAAAAATATTATAATGGTTAATGGGATATCA